ATAAAAAGGTTTGAATGGGCTATTAAAATCTTGAACTTCAAAGAGCTTAAACATTTTCACAATTTCAATACAAATGACTGAAACCATGTGGGTTACATTTCCTTTCAATTTTACATGCATTTAGAAATTAAGGAAAAATACACAGAAAATAAATTCTAGGTTTTGATCAGACTGTACATTGAGTGGCCATAACATGTCTGTAATTAGTTTAAATTTAAATATATCTGAAGCAAAAAAAAAACCAAACAAACAATATATTAGAATTTAAAGAAAAAGAAATTTTACTATAATACAAACCCTCAATGTCACGAAAAATTAGTTAATTTCTGACTGTGCAACAGGCAATGCACCATAAAATGTTACTGAGTTAGATCCAGTCTCTGCTTTCTGGAACTTCACAATAATTCACAGATTCTGAGATTAGCTTATTCATTCACCCTAAAAAGGGAAAATTAGTAGGTAATAAAATGTGCGCAAGATATTTTACAAAGTTCATTGCACTTTGTAAGAGCGCATAGGCGGCTGAAAAAAGACCATAGACATTGCCAAGTCAAACCGTTAAGAAAGAGAGGGATACGCCTGGGGGGACTGAGAGTGCTTTCTGTCACATCTGAGAGAGAAATTAAATCTTATGTGAGATTTATTTTTAAATAATGACCAGATAGTGGCTTATCAAGCTAGTGTTTAGGGATATTCTAAGTAACTGGTGCTGCTAATGAAATTAATTCAGTGCACAGAGAGTTACAGAGTTCTGGCTATTGCATTGTGCTACTAGCACACATTCCCTGGAATGGTAATTACTGGGGACTGTTCTCAAGAGGCACCTAGTAGAGCTACTGAATCTTGGAAAGAAACCAAGAGTCAATTGTATTTTTTGACTCAAGTCACTTAAGGTTCTCCAAACTGAGATGAGAGACAGAAAATATGAAGAAATTTGAAATGGCAGGAACCATGTCCCAGGCAAGCTCTGTGAATTGAAGCTCAAATATTAATGTGTCCAGCTATTATACATTTCACTGTGCTTCCCAGTCAGTAGTTTGTTTTCTTTTCTGGGCTATTGGTGCATGTTTCCAGGATTGTTCACTTTGACTCTGCTTTTTCTCTCATCGGTAATCATATTCACAAGTTTATTCTGGATTGGGATGCAGAGGGCCTTCTGTCAGAGGCATGTTTTTATAGCCACTGCATTCATTCTTTCTTAGAACTTCTCTGCTTGGCATTTTATGCCTTACTTCAAAGTTCAGTCCTTCAGTTTTTACAGGTCTCATATGGAATGTCTTTTTACTAGAGCCGTACATTCATCTCCCCACCAATGAAACTGAGAAAACATATTTGCATTCTGACATTGTCAAACCCTATAAAACCAGGCTCCTGCCTCTCCTGCCACATTTATCTAAATAGGATACTCTGCCCAGGACTAGTTGTTCTACACATAATGAGTCCATAGTCACAATCTTGAATGTATTGGGTTCCCCCAGGTCTGTCTTTTAGAAACCCAGAGTCAACTCACATCCATCAACTTTGTCTTCTTTTTCAGAAAAGCGGAGGCGAACAATTATAGTTCTTTCTTCAAGCACATCAAACAAACTTGGTACCAGGGCCGAAACCTAACTGATCTCTAAGGCTTGAAACTTTACCCAGATTCTGATCTCTCACTGGGAAGGAGTGACATATCCAATTTAGACCCACGCACAAAGCCTCTATTCTAAACAATAATGGCAGTGTTTGGGTGTCGGTTAAAGACTCTATGGGTCTCACAATTCTCAGCAATGAAACAACATGAAGTTTTGAATAAAGAAATCCAGTTTATTTATATTGTCTCCCAGAGGTTGTCACTCTGAGTTGACTCAATGCTGGTTTCTGGAAATGGACGAAGTGCCCATTACCCCCAGTTCAGAATAAAAGATATTCTCCCCAAAGGAAGCCTCTCAACACAGTATAAGGACCTGTTCATTGCACTAAGGTTTAAAGAGGGCAGGACAAATGAGACAAGCAGACTTTTGTACAGTCTTTCTTGCCATCTTCATCAGAGCATGGTTGATAGAAAGGAACTAAAACCGCTCAAGCAGATTTCAGGAGGATTAACTGTAAGCTCACAAGGGTATATCCTGAAACCCAAAGGAAGGAAGCACAGCTGAGCCTGTCTTAGGATGAAAAATGCTTGCTGAAAAGTCATCAGGAATAAAGGAAGTTATTGTTGAATTAGTACAAGAGTTTGTGGTGGTTGAGAGCATGGGATCTGGAAACAGGCGACAGGAGTTCAAGTCCCAGTACTCCCAGTTGCTTGCAGTGCATTTTTGAAACATGAAATATCTCCTGTCTCTTATTTCTTCAGCTACAAAATAGGAAGACTAATAACAATTCCCTATTTCTGTAAGAATTAAGAAATATAAGTACTTATAGGACCTGGTGCATAAAAATGCATTCAATGAAAGTTAAGCACAATAATAACTTGTTTATTGACAGTGTTGCATTTATTATATTACCTGTGGGCAATTGCTTCTTCAATATTTACCTTTAGGAAAAGCTAAAGCTTGACAAAGAATGTTAATAAATTGACCCATTCAAAAAATAAAGGGGGGGGGTGGCAACTAAGTAAATTGAAAGAGTAATGTCAACCAAAACAGTTTTGTAGAGAAATATCCGCTCATATATTATCGGTGGAAGTGTAGGTTTTAATGAACCCTGTGGACAAGTAGGCAATACCTGTCAAATTACAAATGCATATTTTTACTCGGTATTTTATCCTACAGATTTATTTGCATGTGTGTGTGAAGTAATGTTTATATTTTTATAATATATCAATGTCTATATCAATGAATGATTGGAAACAATTCAATATCCATCAACAAAGTACCAATTAAATAGATTATGCTAAATCGAATAATTTTAAAATATTTTATATATGCGTTATGTATAAAACTTTGTAAGACAATATGCAAATGTTACATAGAAAGATCTCTTACATGAAAAAAAACTACTGCATACTTTTTTATTCATTTGAATTTACAACCACATTAAAGTATCACCTACTAAGTTAAAATTTTATTAATTTTTAGAGAGAGAGGAAGGGAGAGGGAGAGTTACAGAAAGAAAGATCAATGTGAGAACAAAACATCGATCATCTGCCTCCTGCACACCCCCTACCAGGGATGGAGTCTGCCACCCAGGCATGTGCCCTGACAGGGAATTGAAGCAGAAACCTTTCAGTGCATGGGATGATGCCCAACCAATTGAACCACACTGGCCAGGGCTCAAATAAAATTGTTTTAATTAGAAAAGATATAATACAGTAGCACTCACATACAATAAATGAAAGCTAATTGGAGAGTGGTTCCATTTTTCCAGGAGCAGAGAAGTAATATGTTTATTCAATCTTTTACTATAAGAGAACATCAAATTAAAATCACACATGGTACCTTTTTTCATTTATCAGGTATGGAAAAGCTAAATTTTGACAATTCACAGTCTTGGTGAGGCTCTCCAGAAACAGGCACTGTTGTACATAACTAGTGGAAGTATGGGTCATGCCTACTTCTTTTTTCCTAGCAAAGCCTGTCTCCCTCTGTAATAGTTGAAAATATCAGTGACTTGCTTTCCCGGCAGCAATGTGTAGCTAGGGCATGGGCAGACAAACAGAACCTGAGAGGATCCTGGGTTTTGGTTGGTGTTTTTTTCCCTTCCCAATAGAAAACAAACAAACAAAAAACACAGAGAAGGAGAATAGTCTTCACTCTGTACAATGCTTTTGACTACGGCATCCATCTTCAACCACAAGGGGCAAGCTAAAAATGTCTTGCCTTCAAATGCTTTGTTATATGAAGAGGATATATATCTCTGCCGCTGTTAGTTGGGTAGTCTTCTTTGCAGCTGTAAGCATTCTGATGCATGAAGTTTACCAGAAAATGGGTCAATGCTAAGAAACAGGTCAACTTCAAGTTATGGTTGTAACCTTTTCACAAATCGGAAGTTGAACTGTATACTCCTATAAGGGTGAGAGAAGACCGGGAGCAGCAAACATTGCAATTTTCTATAGGTATGCATTGTTTTGCTTTAGCAACCACCTTCCTTACTTGTGTCGTTCGAGAACATATGGTTTTAATCTCACCATCAAACATAATTTGTGGGCATAGCAAATGCTAATATAATTTACCGAATGAATGTGAAATTCAAGAAAATAGCTTCTCAATGAATAGTGATAACAACTGAGTTTTAGTCTCTCTTATATCTTTGTTGATTTTATCTATTTCAGCTGTCAGCACCGCTTTGTCATTTAGACTCTTAAAAATAGTGATCATTTAGAACAGTCACATTAATGGGCTCTGCTTAGCTACCCAGTGACCAGCAATTAGCTTATGAAAATCCTACTCATCTATGAAGCTATGAAGCCCTAGCAGAATTACCACTGCCTTGTAAACTCAATTAAGTTTACCTTCCAAGCAAAATTCACTTTAAGTTCTCAATTCTACAGTCTAAAATAATCCCAACAAGTTATTGTTTTTCTAAATCAAGTAATATTACCAATTAGCATATTGTTAAGCTACTGATATGTAACAGATAAATTAATTGTAGAATTTATACAGTGGAATATAAGTAAAACTTTCTGTTAGCAGTGATTAAACCAATTCTAATCAATCAAAAAGCTAATTAAAATTATTAATTTACTAGACTATGAGTCACTTCGCTAGCTCCAATTTTTTTAATCTATAAACACTTGTTTTTTATGAAATCAGTATCATTCTGTAGTTGGAAAATTTTATATAAATAATATATAATTTTTTAAAATTTATGAGTATTAAAAACATTAATTTCTTTATTTTGCCATTGTATCCATGACCAAATCATACTTCTTACATAAATTTATATTCAAGCTTACTATTTTATAGAGTTTGAGATAAATGTTTCCAAAACCTTGTAAAATCTAGATGAAATTGGAACCATTTTATTTGCAGTGTTAATGGCATCAAATAAGCATGAAACCACAAATATTTAGGCTTTTATTTTCCAGAATTACATAAAATATTTGGTGTAGAATTTAATGAACAATTAAATTCTTTGTTAAACATTAAATTCTGTTTGGAATAGTTCACTCTATTTGTTTATAGTGACATATATCTTTCTCTTTATACTTAGACATTTTAATCAGTGTGAGATCCATATTGTATCTTCAGGAGAAACAGAAATATATAAAATTTGGTTGGTTCCCTATACCTTAAGGACACTGAAATCATGCATTGTCTCAAGGAGGCAACTGAGGATGAAAGACACACTATGAGGGGAAGAGAAAGCAGAAGAGGGCATAGAAAAATCAGCCCCTGGTTCTATCTGAGGGGAAAAAATCATAGCTCAACATTGGAAGCATTAGGGATAACATAAATTTCTCTGAATGAGTCTTGGGAATATGGGGGTGGAGGCAGCATTATCACATATCACATCAAAACTTCTGAAAAAACCTCTCTAGAGTACTCTTGCTTGTTGACAAATTTGTCCCTTAAAGCAGATGACATGCCTCTTATTCTCATTCTCCATTCCCTCCTTCTGCCCAACGTTCTTTCTTCACAGGTACCTCCTACCCAACTTTCTTTTTTTCCTTCCACAGCTTCTTCTTTTTTCTTTTCCTATATTAAAAGCAAAGAGTGGCTTAGCCATGAGCACAGTTTAGACAATGTTTTTCCTCTTGGAGGAATGCATGTTTGTTAGGTGTAGGGGAGAGTATCAATTAATCCTAAATATGTCATACTAGAGGCCCGGTGCATGAATTCGTGCACAGGTGAGGTCCCTCAGCCTGGCCGGCGATCAAGGCCTACCCGGGGGAGGGAGAGGGCGGCCGGCCAGGGGGAGGGGTCGAGGGAGATTGGCCAACTGTGGGAGGTTGGCTGTGGTAGTGCACTGAACACCAGGGGGCAGCTCCTGAGTTGAGTGTCTGCCCCCTGGTGGTCAGTGCACATCATAGCAACTGGTCGACTTGTCGTTTCAGTCATTCTGGTCGTTCCGGTAACGGTCGCTTAAGCTTTTGTATATAGAGATATGTCTGTGAGAATGCATTTGTGGCATTTACCCTATGTGTCTAGAACTGTGCTCAGCAGTGGCAAAACATAGATAATATGTATATGTGCTTGTGTGTGTATATATGTATATACATATAGTATATAAACACATGTATAATAAGCACACACACAAATACACACATATATAATGTATATTACATACTTTCCCCATTTCATTTTACATAAGACTATTTTTTACAATTAAGGTTCATACTTAAAAACAGATTATCTGCTTCCCTATGTGATTTTACTTTCCTGTCAATGATACTTTGACAAGATTTTAAAGTGATTTTATTAGTATTATACCTAACACACTCATTATTACTCTTTGCTTTCTCCGGTTGCAACTTGTTTCTGCTTCTTGGACTTCACAATGATCACCCCACAATGAACCTCACAAATAGACTTGTATGCAGAATTATAACATTCCAGAATCAATGTATTTAAATAATATCCCAAACAAGTAAGCCCCAACCTTATTCTAAGCTACTCTCATTTTATTACAATCTTTGTTCATGTTTCATGATGGGCCTAGTGTCATATCTATTCTACTTTGACAAGAGCTCCTGACTACACATCTTTGCATTCATTTCATTTGAGTTGCACAAACAGTCCAACTTTCTACTGATGTAAATATGTGCTGGCTTTATAATCCCAGTGGAGGAAACAGTTAAATTTAGTTTACTCAGATGCCTCCCATTCTATTTTACCCACATCCCTTTTTGCTGGGACTTAACATTCTTCCTTGTCCTAATCTTAGTGGAAATAAAGAATAACTGATCATATTTCAGTCATCTCCCCTTTACCTGAAGGTCAGCATGTTAATTTTCTCCATTCTGTTTGATTTTTATCCCAAAATTCAGCTGTCAGTTTAAGTGCATACCACAGCTAACAAATACCTAATTACTCCGTGTACGATTGCATTGTGATGTATTGCCTTTCATTTCAATCTCATCTATATTTTGAGATAAACATACAGAATTTCCCAAAAGGTTTCTAATTTTAAACCATGACCAGTATTCATGGGCATTTAACTAAAGTTTTCACTCATTCTGCAATACCCTCAGATATCTTTAAGGAGTGGGTCTTCATGGGATGTTTTTTCACTTCTATATACAAAGCAGTACTGTGTGTATGACTTGCAGAAAACCTTAACAGAATAAAGCTTTGTTTCATTTAACCAACAGGAACAATAGGCTTCCTCAATCTCAACAGGTGTTTGGTGTGTGTGGTGTTTTGTTTTTTTTTAATATCACTCATCTACTCCAATTAGAAAAGTATGATATTGACTCTCCTTGGGCTCTAAGTTTCTAAGTAAGTTTTTAAGCTCGCATTCATACATGGAGTAACCAGAAAGAAAATCTTTTTATTTACACATCAGTGAAAACAAATGACTAAAAATATTTAAGCGAGCTTGGGCAGAGCCACATCTAATTATGTAAGGTATTTGTGATGCCAGGATTGGGTCATACTGCTAAAGATTACGATTATTTTTAGGTCTTTCACATCATTAGCCTTAATGCACTTAAATGGTACTTACGTCTTAGTGAGGGTACGCAGTTCAAATGAGTATCATTTTATGACATGATTGCTTCGGTGAGTTTCCTTTCCACATAACTTGTTTCAGTACCAAGAGGAAAGGAAATCATTAGTTGTCATGGAACAATCACTGTCAGGCCATTTCCATTTCCTGAACGTAGGAAAAAAAGCCATTAAAAATTCATTATGGGTAATGGTAGACAAGCATCAGGGAATGGTGTCTCACACCCATGGGAGCATGGGAAGGACGGAGCAACAAAATAATCAGGAAATACGTAAGACAGCTTTCTTGTGGGGTGTTGTTGTTGTGGTTGTTGTTGTTTTTTATTGCTTAAAGTATTACAAAGAGTATTATATATGTCTCCTTCTTTCCCCCGCCCTTGACATTCCCCCTTTTTTTAAGTGTACCCTACAATGTCTGAGATGTGCCCTTACCTCTGTGTCTAGAGCCCCCTGCCCCTGCTGCAGACTCACCCCTCATTCTATAGATGTATTCCAATTCTCGTCATGTGATTCCTCCACAAAAAGGAGTCTTCCTCAAAAATTTAAGAAAAATTTAAAAAAAATAAGTAATATTGTGACATAGGACTTAGAAAATGAAAGTCTCATATTCTCTTCTTTCCATTTCTTCCCTCCTTTACTTCCTTCCTTCATTCCAATCATTTATGGATCCATAACACATATTCCTTGTTTTGTAATTTTATAGTGTGAAATTCAGTTCAATTAAATAAACATTTATTAAGCAGCTGTTGTGTACAAGGCATTTACCACTTTTAAGATACTCTCTAGCAAAGGCCAAAAGCCTTAGAATTTTGAAGGCCAGGGATGAAAACATCAGCAATCAGAAAACAAGGTTGCAAAAGCACACTGCGTGTCCCTCACACAGAAGTCCATCTGAGCCTTTGCACGTACAGATTCTCATTTCTTCCATGCATTTCACATGGTTTAGCACTCAGGGTCCTTATTTTTAATATCTATGACTGTTGTTATGTATCCAAATCTTACTTATTTTGATTGCTTGATTGCCACTGTTAACCCTTTTAGGACACGGCATTTATTCTTTTCAATTCCATTAAAGTTTATTAAAGCCCTTCTATTTCCAGTGGGATATTATCATCGCTAACAGAAAGTAGTAGAATAGAGCCTTACATTGTTGTATACAATAATCCATTCCAGGTGGATCAAAAACTCATATGTGAAAAGCAAAAGTAGGAAAAAAATTGTAAGAATTTATAGGAAGATCTTTTCATGGACTTGGGCTAGAATAGGCTTTGCAAACAAAATAGAAAAGTGATAACTGATGAAAAAAAATGATTGATAGCCCAGCTGATGTGGTTCAGTGCTTGAGCTTCGACCTATGAACTAGGAGGTCACGGTTTGATTCCCTGTCAAGGCACATGCCTGGGTTGCTGGCTCCATCCCCACACTGAAGTTTCTATCTCTCTCTCCCTCTCTCTCCCTCTCTCTGAAATCAATAAAACATATTTATTTTTTTAAAGGATTGATAAGCTACATTTAAATTTAAATCTTCTGTTCCTCAAAAGACAAAATAGAACAGTAAAAAGACAAGCCAGAAACTAGGAAATAGATGGCTGTTTAGAGAGAACTTATATTAATCACTAGACAAGTGTACAAAATTCATAAAAAGGCAGGATTTTGATAGTGGGGAAGTCTGTGGAGGGCAGGCAGGGCGTATATGGAAAATCTTTGTACCTTCTTCTGAATTTTTCTGTGAACCTAAAAATGCTCTAAACAATAAAGACTAGTAAAAATTGTGAATATGCATTTCACTGAAGAGGAAACATTAAAGACCTTAAACATAGGAAAATTGATAATGATTAGAAATAAACAAATTGAGGCTGCCATTAGTCACCACTAATCAAATTGGCATCGTTTAAAATATCTGATGAAGCTGAGGGCTGGTGTGCACGTGAGCCAGAGGACCTCTCTGATGTAGCTGGTAGGATCATTACTGTTTAACCACTTTGAAGGATAACTTGGCATTGCCTTGTAAAGATAAACATTTGCATTTTTCACAAGCCAGTGTTCTACGCTTGAACAGATGTGCCAGGATACAGGTGCTTGGATGCTGTGATAGCTAAAACCAGTGCAACAAAACTTGCCCTGACCCAGTTATAAATGCAAATATTTGAAAAAAATGTAAGCATTAACACCAGAAACATGATAAAAACAACAACAACAAATAGCAGTCATTTTCTCCAAACTATAACTTTTTAAAGAAAACAAATAGAATTCTTAATACTTTATAATTCCCAAATATTTTTTACTATGAAAAAAGACACTTGTTTTCTGTGTTGTCATTTTTCTCACAGCTATTAGATTTATGCCTGAAACATGAATTTTGTTTGCTTTCTCTTTACATAATTGGGGACAAATGGTCACTCAATGTATGTTTCAACGTAACAACTAAGAACACACTAACTCTTAAAGCAGCACAGACACCAGAGTCTTGTCACTTCCCTTTTTTCCTTTTCCCTCTTTCTAAAGTTTTTCTTTCCAAAGACACATTCCAGCTTCTTGCAATAGGAACCCCCTACACTTCCAAACTATGCTTGGAGGTAATTTCAAACATCAAAATAACCCAAAGAGAGGAATGGTAGAGGAGGGGGGACACTTGTTTATGGTATAAGAGCTGAGCTTGCCCTGTTCAACCTCAAGTGGCAACACACACATTCGGTGATTCCGCCTTTCACTGCTCTGTACACATCTGCAAATGAATGCAAAGGCACACCTCTCATATAAATTTTGAGGTTACACAGAAATGTTAGCAAGTAGGTGACTTTGCAATCACCAAGTCCTTGCATAATGAGGACTGAGTGTATTTATTCTCATCCCACTTCTTAGTGTCAAACAGAACAAACCTTATCCTCTTGTGGGTAGCCCTTCTCAAATCTAAAGATAAAGCAATAGCTAACATTTATTTTGCATTTGTCAGATGCCAAACCTTTTGCACAGGACTTTACTTGTATTTACTCATTCAATCCCAACAGCAGTTGTATGAGGTAGAAATATCACGATCAGCATCCCTATTCCAAAAAGAAGCCAACAAGCACAGAGAGGTTACATGATTTTGCTCGAGTTACACTGTCAGGAGGTGGCATAGATGGAATTAAATCCAGACCACCTGTACAGCCTCGTCCAGTTCCTCAACTGCCCCACCATCCCCACCATCATATGCTTTCCACGAGTCCAGTGGCTTGGTCTCAAGTCATATTTGATCGTTAGGTTTTGTCTCTTAATCAATTGAAGGTGCAGAAAATTCTGCATTTCTATACCATGGCTGGCTCCTTGGAGGGATGCTTTTCACAGCATTTTGCCCTGGGTTTATTCTGTGGGGCACCATAAGCGACATATGGAATCTGTTATTTTATTTATTGGGGAGATGTTGTTGAAGACGTTGTTTTCTGCATTACTCAGTGTTCCCAATATAAAGAGCCATGTGAGTCATTTCTCTTAGGCTTAGTGCCAGGAGAAGGCTGAGTAATATGCATGCTTTTTTTTTTCTATTGGGACAATGTGAGTCAGATTGATACCATATTTTCTAAGTGGATGCCAGGAAACTCTAGAACTTAAAGACCATGTATCCACAGCACCCTACACAGTCATTAAAACCTCCATTACTGTGTAATCATTACATGTTTTAATTTTCCTCTTGTTTTTGACACTTTATTCTATTTCCACCTCTTACATACATCTAAATAAGCTATTTCAAAATAATTGAATACATAAATTTATTTTCTTTGGAGTCATCTCATTTTCCTTACCACTGTCTTCTAATGCATTCTAGCTTATAGATACAACTTTAAAAGTAACATCCAACACTGAATGTGAAATTCCACATGTGATCTAATCAACCATTTAGCCTTATTCCCATTTGATTTGATCTACTTTTGGCTAAAAAGAAACATATAATTTGTGTCTAAATTTTCTTAATTCACTGTTATGAGATCTTAATGTTTTATAAAATTTATAAGGATACTTTTGGTAAATTTCTATTCAGAATTGTAAACGTGTAATGAAAACTGTATTTTTTAATCATATAAATTTATACGATCATTTCTACAAACAATAAAGTTATATTCAAGCTCTGCAATTTATTTTTAAAACTTATGCAGATAAATGTAAACAAGGCCACAGTGACTAAGTTTCTGAAGAATGAGTAGATGACCCTGTATGGGTATGAGCAGTTACACCTGCATAGATTTTGTTCCAAAGCAAGGAAGAACTCAGTTTTGTTAATGTTATGTAGGCCTAGCAACATCATCACATTAATTTGAAGTCTAGGAACTCTTTTTTTTCATCTTTATTGTTGAACATTTTACAGATGTCCCCTTTCTTTCTTCATTGTCCCCTTCTAGCCCACACCTGTGCCCTGCCCCAGGCCTTCACCACACCATTGTCTGTGAGGAACTCTAATACTCAAAAAGTCAGAAAGGAGCAAGAAGAGAGAGTAGATGGCTATCTCATAGGAGGAATGAGTTAAGTATGTTATACAGTAAAACATGTTTGGTCTCAATGTAAGTTAACTTTATTTTATTAAGGACAATTTATATCCCAGAAGATATGGTTCATGTTGAGAGTTTTAAGAGGTTTTAAATTTTATTATGTAAACAAAAGTGGCTCTGGTTGGTGTGGCTCAGTTGGTTGGTCCCATGCACTGAGAGATCACCAGTTTCATTCCATTCAGGAATATGCTTGTGTTGCAGACTCCATCCCCAGTATGCAGGAGGCATATGATCAACATCTCATCAATGTTTCTCTCTCTCTTCCTCTCCCTTCCTCTCTTTCTCTAAAAAAATCAATTAAAAAAATTTTTAAAAGAAAAAGTGGTTTCTGTTTATTTTCCAAGAGAAAATAATCCAAATTTTGTTTCCATTATTATGGATATGATATTGAATATAGTTAAAGAACACACTGTAGGTTGATTTTGTTACCTTTAGAAAGTGCACTTTGTAGGAGATGATAGATATGTGATAGATGATAGATAGATAGATAGATAGATAGATAGATAGATAGATACTAAGATTATGTATATGTAATTAATAGGACATTAATGTAAAAAACAGAATCCTTGCCTGGCCAGTGTGGCTCAGTTGGTTGGAGTGTCCTCCCATACATCAAAAAGTGAGA